CTCAACTAATTTACAAGGTTATAAAGCTCAAATACTGACACTAAATATTAATCAGTGTATTTTTGAATGCTTGTTCTCTGTTCAGATGTTGCATAAAATTAAAGAATTTACAGTTTCAAACAACTTTTTAATTCGCATGCATTCATTTGAAGTGATAATGCATTCTATTATATATTTTTAACATGAAAGATATAACATCAACACATTGCTTACATTCATTGTCCTAGATTATTATAATTTATGTAATTTTTTTTCCTCTACAGGTAACCCAAAAGTTGGATTCATTGACACCAAGAGGTACATATTTTTGAAACCAAAGTTGATTTCAGAAATACTTTCTAACTCAAACAATTGTATGATTTATTATTGCAACCGCCGGTAGATACATTTAAAGATAATGTGTTGTACAAACATTTTAGTTACACCTAATTTAACATTTAATTTCAGAGTTATTGCATGCACTTTTTAAAAATAAATTTAAATGGAAAAGTTATGAAAGAAAAATACCTATGCAGCTAGCAGTTTAGTTAGCTCATTTTAAGTTGCCACGTTTTTCATGTTATACAGATTCTGGAAAGTGACACACTATTTCCCTTCCAGGGAAGGCACAGAGCCTGGACTTAAATATAGAACTGAAATGTTGGAAAGAGCATCTTCAGTGGATGTCAAAAACTCATGTGGCGCCGACGCTGGTCTTGATGTAGATGTGGACCAAGAAATGGCCCCTCTGGAAGATGAAGACACTGACTCAGACTCTGAGATGACCGAAAGTGATGAAGACATGCCACGTGAAACAGTGGCTAGACAGAAGGTTGAGGTAACAGTAACCAATACACTTTCACAACCTGTGAAAAATAGAGAGGAGACTCTGTCTATTCATCAACGTCGAATACTACTCCTTGCACTGTGCTCCGGGGTCCAGAAAGCGGCTAAAGAAATGGTCACCAAACCTCAGCTCATCAAAACCTGGCTTCAGGACAAAGAGAATCAATTAAATGAATGCAGCAGCAGGAGCTGTGGAGAGGCCGTTGATCGCCTAGTGGAGTGGGTTTTGACTCAACGGGAACAGCAGCGTCCTATCAGTGAGGCGAAACTATTTGAAAACGCTTCGGAGCTCCAAAGCCAAACCAACGAGAACAATTCTTTCCGTATTTCATACGAGTGGGCCGTGAGCTTCATGATGCTGCACAAATTGGGCTTGGATACCCCTTTCACAGTACATCGGGAACTCCCTAATGCCATGGAGCAAAACTGCCATCGCTTCACAGAGTTGGTGCACAGTAAAATAAAGACAAACAACATTCCACAGCGTGTCTTTGGTGCTATGGACCAGCTTTCTGTTTTTGTGGACTTCAAAATGCTGAATGAGAATACCAGAATAAGCAGAGAGACTGCTTTTCAGTTTACTGGGTCTGGGAAGCCTTTCATAAAGATGTACCTTTCAATGCTCGCAAATGGTACAATGCTACCTGCAGTGTTCTTCACAAGTCACTCCGCAAGCATGCTGAGCAGAAGCCCACCAGACTCAATCCTGCTTATGGCCAAAGAGGAAGGTTTCAGCACAGCGGAAGAGCTAGAAATTTGGTCCACCAAAGTGTGGAAACAGCATCTCGACTCACAGAATGAAAATGATGCCCTACTGGTTATGGATAGCCATCATAGCCAAACATATGAGAACGTCATATCCACAGTCAGTAGCACCAAAACCTTCCCCGCCATAATTCCGGCTGGCTGTACGGCCAGACATCAACCTCTAGAGATGTGTGTACGCCCTGTGCTGCAAAGATTATTTCTAGCTCGTTGGGCACAACAACCCAGCGATGGTGCATCTGGGGTTCAGTGTGAGGATCTGGTGGAGCTTCTCGTATCCTGGTTGGAAGAGGCCATGTCTTGCTTCTCTGGTAGGCCTGAATTTATTCAACACTCGTTCTGCTTGGCTCGCCTGCTTCTTGACCAGGAAGTACATGCAAATTTGCCTGGTACACCTTTGGAGCTGTTAAATAAACTGTCTGAGGCTACACTTGGACCTGAAGTTGTAGATCTTGAGTCAGCAGAAGAAGATGATGAAGAAGAGCCAATGGACACACATACTGTAGACAAAGTGAGTCAAGTAACTGAGAAAATTGATTTGACACAGGAGCCAGAGGATACAGAAAATGAAGAAGTCAGTGAAACAAAAGATGAAGACGCAATGCCAATTGAAATAAAAAAGACAGAGCAACAAAAGGAAAGAACTGATGAATGTTTGGAAATTGCAAGTGAATCCACAGATTTCTCACATTCATCCCCTGAATCAGAGACCCCCTCACACAACTCTGAACAGGATAATTTCTCAGAATCTGGTCAGGATGCTAACACTTACCAAACGGACTTGGCAAACAGGTGATATTTGAACTACAGAGACATTGAACAGAAGGATTTGAGGTCAGACAAACCTATTTAGGCAGAATGTGACTGTGGATAATTTAATTTGCAACCTATTGTGAGGTGAAACGAAAATGTAAAAGTATTTTTTTTAATCCTAAATACTGTATAGATTTACAGGATAGACATTGCATGATTGACTTTTGCAAAGTTTTCTACTGTTCGTTCTTTCTGTTTATTCACTAGCATAAAATGATCCAATAGCGCCCACAGTGTTAGAATTTTTTGTCTATGGACAGATATTATATTTGTGTTTAAATTCTACATCCTCAGACAGTAAATCAGCGTTTTTGTGCCATTCTAAAGCTGTAATGAGAAAATTTTCATCAAGCCAGATTGAGGCTTACAGTGGTTTGCTTCGTTTTTTATTTGCCTCTACATGGCTGTACTACTCTCACAGTTTGTGTGGCATCAGTTTCACGCCTGACTGGAGGAAGAGTATCACAAAGCATGTGTTGACCATGTGCGAGACATAGTGGAAGGCAGAAAAATAATCTAACACTTGAAATGAAGAATCACTCAAATGCTATTTCGATAAGTGCTATTTAAAATCGTTTAATTTACTATAGCTCTTGCAGTTGGATAGGCCATTACTGAACAATATAACTTTTATTCCATGGCTTTACAGAGTCTGCTATTTCATTATATGGCTGTGCTAAAATTCAGCATTATGGCTGGCAACAGACTCAGACCTGCTTTAAGTTCTTCTATTTTGGTTATCTATCTACTTACAGACCGAATAAACGAGACACGCTGAAAAGTCTTAGCATTGGTATTGCAGAAGCAGCAGTGAATGGAGTGGGATCGGTATGTATATTCATTATTGATTTCAGCATCTGAATTTACCGTAGCAACCACAGGATGGTGTAACTACACTCCAGGTGTCATTCATTGACATTCAATTCAAAGACGTTCTGTAGCACATTATTGGTGCCCTTCCATGTTTGTTAAGGTACTTACTTTGATTTAATTTCCTTTTGCTGCAACGATTTTGTATATAATTTACATGTACTAAATGCTGGGGCTTTATGTAAACAGTCTGATTATGAAGGTAAGTGGGAGTTGATATAACTTGGGGTCTTTTGGATGTTATTTTGATGAAACCGTAAAGAGGGCTAAAAAAAAAATATATATATATGTATATACAGTATATATATAATGATTTAAGAGGTAAAAGTGTTATGTGTGTGGCTTGGCATTGACTATTCCTCATGAATAAAACATAAATAAACTCAGTTTGTGCATATAGCCCACTCGTTTTTCCCATGCTTCCCTGCTTTGTTTTAATGTGGACAGGAAG